CCTCTTTTTCCCCTTGTTTTATCCGTATCCCTTTATTTGCTAAATCTCGTGATTATTTGTTCTTTTAACCCCAGTTTTACTCTTTTGTAATCTGAGATTTCTGGAACAAGATTTTTTTTTTTTCTTCTTCTAGCACATGGAGGGACTCTCTCCTGTGCCTAGGCACGGAGTTCTGTCTGAAAATCTAAATTCCAAACTACGTGGGCAAGCCCTGAGATGCTGCTGCTATCTGTTCCTCAAAGTTATACGTTAAACAAAACATGCATCTGCTCAGTTTAACCTGTAATTAAACATTTTCCTTAAGCAACTGATACCGTGATAACTAATAATTATCATGTATAGCACCTTTAAAGCTTATTATGCATGTTTATGTAAGAACACTAGCACCATAATAACGCAATATCATTACCACACATGTGCCTACTGAATGAGCATGTCTGAAAATAATCATGCAGTTCCATTAATCATACTTGAAAAATTGAAGTATTTGCTGTCTAATCTCTAAACCACTCCTCAAAAGATTTTGGAAACAGCAGGACCTGTTTACTGCAGCTTTCTAATACACAAAATCTCATTTTTGGTGTCTCATTTTTGTATCCTGAATTGTTGCTTGTCTTTCAGCTAAGGAAATCATTAGCTCAGAGACCCCCAGTCTTGTGTTGAAAGTATTTCCAAGCAAGGAGGACAGCTAGCTAATTCTAATTCTGTTAGTTATGGGAAAAGTGGGGATAGCAAGATGTTCTTCAAGTAATCCTTTTTTCCCTTTTAATAGATTTTAAAGTTGGGAAGTGGGGTTTTCTGCTTTTATGTGTAAATTTTTCAAGATCATGAGGTTTTGAGTTTGTTTCTAGTACTGAAATGTTGAGCTCTGGTAGAGACTTACTGGCCAGAGTGAAAGCTGGGAAGAAGCACATAGCCTACTAAGAAATCTGAGTAACCAAAAAGGAGACTTTCATGCTGTATCAGTCAAATACCTGGCGTGGCTAAGAGCTAAGAAAAATAGTAAAATATGTTCTATTTTAAAAATTGTTTATTAGAAGATTCCTACTGTGGTTGAGCCTGACATGTTCTTTGGGGCATTGACAGTGTAGAGAGAAAGAAAGTCTGCCCCTCTTCCCCTGTCCTGAAACATGCTGGTTGGTAGTTCGTGGACTGTATGTGTTCTTGTGCATGGTTTTGGCAGTCACACTGCTCCATGGAACCACTGTGTGAGAGAGTTGAAGTAAGGCAGTTATGGAGTTTAAGAGGGCAGATGGAATTGTTGGCCTTTGCAGGCGTTTAGTCATCCAAGCAGAGTATCCATTTGTGCTGTGATTGTTAGAAGGGAAGAGCAGACTGTTTAATCAGTGTCTTTTTTTTCATTTCCTGTAATCCTTTGTAAGGATAAAAAGCATGTCCTCTCTCAGTAGTTCTATCGAAACCTTTGTGGAAAAAGGACTAAACGTGAAATTTGAAGCCACAATCGGTTTATGAAATCAGTTATTGTCATTGTTTTGATGTGTATTTTGATCACACCAAAGGAATTAATCCAAGGGTTTCAGGCTAAGAATTCCTTCTGCAGTTTTACAGTTACCCAGTAGGACTGGTGTCTGTCTGTATCTGTCAGGCACCAGCCTTTTCACTTCTTCTCTTTGAACTCATTGATAAAAACCCATTTGTGTATAGAGTGATAAAACACTTGCTGCTTTAGAGAGGCCATTCTTTCATCTGTCAGTAGGACCACATCTAATTTAGTAACATAATGTGTGTTGAGTCAAATCAGTCTATCACTATATTTTCTTCCTTAACACTAGGCATTAAGCAAAATGGAGCGCAGTTAAGTATTCATTAATGCCAGAAAGTACATGATGCCATACATCTCCTTAATACTTGATGCAGTTATGTGACATGTTTCTATATCTAACATGTTAAGTGCATTATAAGAGAACAGTAAAAGAGGAGGAGAGGATTTTAAGGGTGTGATTTCAAGGACTGAGAATATCTAGCAGGAAAAAATATTAATGAAAAATCAGAACAGCAGAAATAGGGAAAAATAAAAAAATACATAGAGGATTTGTAAACAAAGTGACGGACATGACAGGAGAGGCGAGAGGACAAACGGCACTTTCAAAGTTTATTTGCTATCTATAATGGCAGTAGTAAAATAGGTAGGTGAGACTGAGGTGGCTGGAGCTGGAGAGGTATTGCTAGAGGAAATGGTTGTGCTTACAGTTAGTAGCTCAATGAACTACATATAAAATGAGTACAAAAGAGTGTTCTCTGTCACAAGGCACATTCAGCTTTTAAAGATCATTGTGTACTTGTGAACAGTCCAGCAGTAGGACAGTAAAAAGGGTTGTACTTTCATATTATTAACTCTCACAGGGGAAGGGGACATATGCACACACGTAACATCACAGAATGGTTTGGGTTAGAAGAGACTTTAGAAATCATCTGGTTCCAACCCCCTCCCCTTGGCAGGGACACCTTCCGCTAGACCAGGCTGCTCCAAGCCCCATCCAACCTGGCCTTGAACACTGCCAGGGATGGGGCAGCCACAGCTTCTCTGGGCAACCTGTGCCAGTGCCTCAGCACCCTCATAGTAAAGAATTTCTTCATAATATCTAATCTCAGTCTCCCCTCTGTCAGTTTAAAGCCATTCTGCCTTATCCTGTCCCTACAGGCTCTTGAAAAATGTCCCTCTCCAGCTTTCTTGCAGCCCCTTTAGGCACTGGAGCTCCTCTAAGTTCTCCCTGGAGCCTTGTCTTTTCCAGGCTGAACAAGCCCAGCACTCTCAGCCTGTCTCCAGAGCAGAGCTGCTTCAGCCCCCTTATCATCTTCATGGCCTCCTCTGGGCTTGCTCCCACAGGTCCATGTCCTTCTTACATTGTGGCCCCAGAGCTGGATGCAGGACTGCAGGTGGGGTCTCACAAGAGCAGAGTAGAGGAGAATCCCCTTCCTCAATCTGCTGCTTACGATGCAGCCCAGGAGATGGTTGGTTTCTGGGCTGCAAACACACACTGCTAGGTCATATTGAGCTTCTTTCTCATCAACCAACACCCCAGAATCCTCCTTCAGGGCTGCTCTCAATCCATTCTCCCCCCATCCTGTATTTGTGCCTGGGATTGCCATGACCCATATGCAGGACATTGCACTTGGTGTTGTTGAGCTTCATGAAGTTCACACTGGCCCACCTCTCCAGCCTGTCCGTGTCCCCCTGGATGACATCCCTTCCCTCCAGTGAGCATGCATAGGTATAATTAGAAGGAAGGAAACAAACTGTTTCAAAAGCAACACAAAATGCTTTATGAAAAGGATATTAACGTGTGACTTGGGGTATAAACCAGCTTCTCACCAATGTGTTCAAGAAGCAAATTTCCCTGCAATCCTCTTAATTTGTTACCACCTACTGCAGTGCTTCATGAACCTTTCTGTTTATCACTTGGCTTCTTTTCACGTATGGAACAGGGGGAATGCTTTCTGTGTTCCCAATTAGGTTGGCAGTTTCTCAAGTTCTCTGTAACTTTTGAAGAAAAATTTCAAGTTCTTGACAAAAATAAAATGGAAATGTATCCTCAAACATCAAAAACTGGAACAGTGTGAAGTAAGCAGCTTTCTCAGATTTGGTATCCGTGTTTATAGTGGAGGCTGCTGGGATGATGTTGTGATTTGATTTTTAGCTTCAGATTGAAAAATCCTAGAAACAGAAATTTTTCTTTGTTGCTTCAGTTACTTCTGGTAAACACTTACTTATTTCTTAGTTTTCTAAGTCTATGGGTTGAACTAAGGAAGTTTTAGTATGTTTTATTCCAAGTTTAGCGTTAAACGTTATGCTGTCTCTGTAAAAAGAATCTGCATTGACTTTCCCTTCCCCCGCTGTTAAATACAATTCCTTTAGGAGAAAAAAAAAATGACGTGTCTATGTTATACTGAGTAATTATGCCCCCTGGGAAATAGAATATAAAGATCTTTAAAATCGTTCAGCTGAGAGAACAAGCACTTTAACTTTTGCCTCGCAGGAGTCATGTATTACATTATCAGCTACTTGCTGCAGTGTCAGTGTGTCATGCCTTGCAGGTTAGCAGGTTTGGCAGAGGAAATGAAACCCAGTCAGTTACTGCAGGATTTATAGTAGACCTGCTGTTGCAGGAAGTGGTGAAAAGTTGATTGATAGTCTGAGGCAAAACTCTACAACAAGAAACAGGATGTATGTTTGTTATTTTATACCCCTTTTTCCCTTTACCCCCTCCCCTTCCCCTCCGTCCCTCCCCCCCATTTCAAGGCACTCTCTTCTTGTTCTCTCTATTTATAAATCCATGATGCGCATTTCTGGTAAAGCATGTGTTGACCTCAAAACACTTGAGGAAATGGGTTTGGCTGTACCAAAGATCTGAAGCTGATGTGGCGTGCCTACTGTATCAGAGGTGTTTATCTAAATGCTCCTGATATTTCTATTGAATTATATTTAAGCTGAGTTATACATGAAAGGTGAAGCATTATCTACAGACAGCACTGAAACATCTCCTGCTATCATGGGGTGCTTCAAGCAGGCTTTGAAAGGAGGGGAATGTATCTCCATGATGGACCTGATCAGTTATGTTCTATCAGTTCATCTGCATTTAACAGACATATCTGGAAGGGTAATAACCCAAAATCATTATTGGTGTATATAAACTTAATCCAGCAAGCCAAATACTGCAGGATTTGCTGCGATCAGCATTCCTGAAAAGGTCTGTTTTCCCTTACTGTGCACTGCTGAAACATCAAAGAAGCACTATCTTTTCTGAAAGTGTCACCATAGACTTTCAGTGGGTTATTGGCTATCCTTGTGGGAAAAGGTTACCCAAAATAATAGTAATTATGAATACTTTTGATCTCCCCCCTCTGTAGCATCTACTTTTACAATTATAATTTAAAGTTGTCTGCAAACCAAGAAAATAGTAGGAATGTTTAAGATTTGTGTTCTCATTATCAGATGGGAAAGTTCTTCTGTTTGTAAAGTATCTTCTTCTTTGTTAAAGGTCAAAAAAGTTGGCTGCACTCTCTGAGTCCTTGCAGAAAACCACACTCGCTAAGTCCCACATAGGATTTGAACTAGAAGAGCTAGAAGCAGCAGCAGTGCTGGTACAAGAGGAAGAGAGCATGTTAAAAGCTGCTGGCAGAGTTTCCAGGCAACAGCTGCCTTCCTCTGAGACAAGTGACTCTGAAGAATCAAGCAGTACTTCATCTGAGACAGAAGGCTCTGATTCAGATGAGCCAGAGTCCTCAACCAGTGAAGATGGGGAAATAAATTCTGTACAAGACACGCTTCAAGAAGAGAGGACAGCTCCACTTATTGACTGTAATGGATTAAGGCAGGGCACAAACACTTCGACATTTGAGGTTAGTGATGAAAAATCAAAGGTTTCTTTGCGATCTACAACTCCTCCTGGACAATTGATAGCGGAATTAGAAAAGCAAATGCACACTGCAATTAGACTTTCAGAACAGCCTGAAAGATCGGCTACTCCAGGCTGCATTTTACAGGAGCAAGACGAAAGCCATGTATCTGAACCTGACAGACTTTCAGAAGATACTGATGGGAAGGGAAATTACTTAGAGGTGTCTTCAAAGACAAACCCATTGCTTTTTCTTTGTGGCACAAATGAAGATGAAGACTAAAGGACTGTGTTAGAGCGCAGTGTGACCCACTAGCAATGCAGCTCGTTGCTATAATGAGGTGTTCCCAAGGCAATCTTGAGCTTCAGAAAGAAGCGGATATTTTTCTTCTTTGTTGTGTTGACAGTTCGGAGGGCAAGGCTGCTTTGAAAAGAATTGACATGACTGTATGATAGATACCCTCATAGTTAGATTTTTCAGTCTCACATTTGAGCTCTACATGTGGGAATGTGTAATTTCAGTAAACTTCTAGAAACAGTTTCTGTTCAGCTTATTTGGTAGTAGAATGATGTCCTAATCAAATACAATTTAAATGATTTGTAGCATCATTTTAGTTATCTTTAGCTGTTGGCATTTACTTGAAAAATATCCTCATTATGTTTGTATGAAGTTGTTTATGATATTTTGCTTCATAGCTCTTAAAAAATGGTTATAACTTTAAAAGTCTAAATAGTGTTAAAATATTTTTAAGTGTATATTTTCTAATTTTTGTACAAAATAAAGGAATTTATCAGTATAAGAAGGGTTATAGCTTATATTTCTGCAGTTTTTCAATTATTTCAATAGTTTTGTCATGTGTTTATTCTTTTACGCTGTTTTGTTTTTGAAAGGTTTTCATGTGTGGACTCTACTATTGCTCCTCAAAAACCAGGAATTCTAATTGTTTGTTTCTTTCTGTGTATACTCTTGGTATCACCGCAGTAATGTTAGCCAAAATGGAAGAAACAACATGGTACAGCAATTGAGTATAGGACTGAAAGCATACCAGTGCTGTCTACAGCTAGCTGTGTTACCAGTGTTTCATGTAGCTTTGGCTAACTCATTTTTGTCTTTATAGTGTTAAAATAATCCAGTCAGTCAATATATTTTGTGCTGATTTCTGTTAACTGTAAATAAGTTCTTGAAATCAGGTGGCTGCTGCAAATTCCATGCTGTTACTCAGTCTCTACAAAAGGATTTGGGAGGGAGACAGGATGGGACATAGACCACCAGGTTTGCTTCACCTGCCTGACAGAACAAGAGCCCCTGATTCATGCCTCTGGAGCAGCAAATGTAATTACTTTTCAACCTTTTTGCTATTAAAAAGTGTATAAAAATCCTAAGCTTAAAGACTTATTCTTCACCAATGCTACACCCTGCTGGAAAGCAGCAGGTGCGCTCTGTTCCTGCGCCGGCTCCTGTTCAGTGAGAGCTGCAGCCCTGATCTGCCAATATTTTTTATGTTCTTAAATACCCACTGGTTGCTTAATCAGTCTCTGTGTTCTGTTCCCCAGGGGAGGAACCTTTCCCATCTTGCATGTCAGTGAGCACTTACTCTTCTAAATGGTAGCAATAAAACCTACACTGCAGCTGCAATTATGCAGCATATGCCTGAGAGAGGGGGAGAAATGTGCTTAAGAAAAAGTAACCCTCCTCCCACTGTCCCCAGATTACAGGTGTGAACTCTGAAACTTCCTTCAGGTGAACATGGGATGGAGAAACTATATAGTGTGAGTTAGGGAATACATGTTGTGAAAATTGATAGGTATTTGTAACAGCCCAGCTCTTGAGCACTTTTTATTTCTTCTTTCCTCACTCTCCCATTTTGTGGCAGGCTCTTGAGGAGAGCTCTTTCCAACAGACTTTCTTACTTGCAGGGCCTGGCTGCCTCTTCTGGAGTGAGGACATCTTTAGTTAGTATTTTTGCTATTTGTGTGCCTAGAAGCATGCTTTCTGTATGCCACTCGTGAGCCTTTTCCGTCTGTGTGAATATTGTTTGGGTGTATGTATCTTCAGTGTCCATACAATGTGATGCCACAGTAAATGCACACAGATGAGAACATGCGCACAGATGTTAACTTTGTTGCCACTGATGTCTTCACCTTTGATACCCTGCATAACTGAGCTCTATTTCTGCCTCTGAAAACATCCTGGTGCCTGCTCATTTCCCGCAAATCTGCAGTGTCCTGTCTTTCCTTCTGCTGCTGCCCTGCTCTTCCTCTGCACATCTGCACTTGGGGAAGCGTGCTGTGGGGTGTTGTACTCTCGGGCCCATTCCCATTCCCAGCTTTCTTCTGCTTTTTCTCCAGTGTTGATGTTCAGCGTAGCCTTTTTGCAGAACTCCACGCGCAGTGGTTGTGGAGCTGATAATGAATGTGAACAGTTACACACCAATCAACAGCAATTTTATGTGACTGTTTTAATGGTGGGGTGGGAAGTTCTTCCATACTGGGTGACAAGAATTTCATGTGTGGCTGCGTTATCCTGCACACCCAGAGTGCTCAGATGGGCAGTGTCTGTGTGAAAGAGAAGCTTTGCCTCCCCAAAAAGAGCGCACAGAGACGCTTCCAAAAGGTTACTTCTGTAACCTTGTTTAGGCAAAACCGAGGCTTGCTGAATCCATGAACCACTTGCGGGGGGAAATACCCACCCAAACCCCACCACCCCTGATGCTTCAATCCTTTAAGCTCCTGTGGGTTCTGTAAGAAGTGAGTCAAATTTATGTACAGCAGCTATTTGGATGAATCTATAGGACTTGTTCTTGCGCAGTTTTTCCAGGCTGGAAATTGGTTCATACATGTGGAACTTGTGTCGTCTGTTCTGTTGGTTTTACAGTTCTCTGTTTCTAGTGCCCCTGCCCACCTTATCCACCCAAGCTTATTCGCAGCACAGCCAATGCTTTGTTTTAAGGCATTTATTGCTTGTCATCGTAAATAGTTTGAAGGGAACAGAATTGCAGTGTCTGGACAAAATTCCTACTGAAAATAAATTGGAATGTGCGCTAAGCCTGAGGGGGGAAATGCTGCGGCATTTTGCTGGAGGAGGGGAAAGTGGGTTGTCTGAGGTGGACGGAGTGCTCTGGGGGAGAGATTAGGCAGAGCTGGAAATACAGTTTGTTGAATGTCTTGTTATTAATCAGTTACCTTTATGTTAGAGATTTGGCCTAAATAGAGCATTTTGTCCCAACCTTACATTGTGGCAGTGGTGTGGAGCTCCCCTGAAGCCAGCTAAGGTGGCAGTGGGAAGATGGCTCCAGTTAATGTCCTGGCGCTCTTCTACTGCAGTAGGCTGTCGCTGGGACAGCACCAATCTCCACTCTTACCCAGGCCCTGGTGAAGGTAAGGTCTCTTTCCCAGCCCCACATCCTTGCAGAGATGTTTGTGAGCTGTCCTTACAGAGGGTAAGTAACCCTGGGTGAGTAAATGGCAGCAGCTGGCTTCATGCCCGAGGTTCTGGGGGGTCTGTTCTCCATCCTCTGCTGCCTGGAGTGCTGCTCCTGCCAAGGATGGCAGAGAGGGATCTGCAGGACCTGTTTGTGCTCTCGGCAGCAGCCCTGCTCTCTTGACCTGCCAAAGCGTAACAGAACCCTGGACAAAGGTGATTCTGGTGCCCTCAAACCTTGACTCTGCTGCTTGGCAGATCAGAGGGGAATACATGATGCATGTGCAGAGGGAGGGAGGCCCTTGCATCCAGGAGTTGTCTCAGAAAGAGTGTGGATGCACTTGTGTTTGGGAGTCACTTGTTCATACAGTGCTTTAAGAACTGGAAACAATCAGAAGTAGCTAAACACAACTGTTTGATTGTCTTCTCCTTTTTTCAACAGGGACAGGGTGACCCACAGGATGTTCCACAAAGAAAAAAACAGTGATGAATTGATTAAATATTCCCACAGCCCCCCAGCTTTTCCTAATTCCAAACAGCTTTCTGAAAAGTCTGCAGAGGCTTTGCTCTATATCAAAAGAAGAAAGCATCGATTAGCCTTGATTTACTACAGTAAATGATAAATATGGCAAAGAAATTGATTCACAGCACTGGAGCGAAGGAGCCAGGCAGCCCTCTGCCATCGACACAGCTGAATATTGTCAAAGCCTGAGCCTCCTGTCTCAAGGCTGGAGAAAACAAACAGGGAAGCACATGTCAAACAGATAAATAGCTCTGCTGTTTAGAGCTCTCCTTGGAGGCCATTTGTCTCTGAGATAAGCAAGAATGCACTCCAAAACTGTGAGAAGATAAGCTGGGAGAGCAAAATGAATGTGGAATTGCTGTGGTTGGACTTGGGCTTTTACGTGGAGCAAATCTGGTTTCCACACCCTGGGGGTCTTTGCAGTGAGCAGGGTGCAGCACCCAGGAAATAGCTAATGGGAGCTCCCAGGCTTTTCTTAAAGGCTTTGGCAATGGCTGATATTTACACCTCTATAGCACACAAACAAACGGTATTGGTGTCAGTTGTGTTAGCAAGTCACTAATTTTAAAGTATTTTCTGGGCCTGTCACGGGTCTGTTTCCCTCTTTTTTTAGTGGTAAGTGGGCTGCAGCCTGTGATTATGTGGGCATGATTTTGTGAGGCATGATTTTGCACTGACACAACGAATTTGTAGTATTGTGGTACCCATAAATCAGGGTATTTTATATCCTTAGGTTTTGGAGAGGTGACAGTACCACTTCCACAAACAGTGCAGATGGAGACCTGACTTAGATCATACTTGAAATGCGTTTGGTAATGTTGGTTTGCATTGCATTAAATGTTCTCTCCTATTCAAAAGCCGCAGTACAATTGAGCACAGTTGGCGGCATTTCGAGGATGCTTGAGGACAAGAACAAAAGCTGTGTCCTTTAGGTGAGGACTAAGATGTTGGCAGAGCTCCATGGGGGAGGACAGCTCTGCCCCAACATCTCTGTGGGAGAAGCTTCATTTACTCGGGTAGTGCTGGGTAGTGATTTGCATGGAAAAGGACAGAAGGTTTCAGGTGAGCAAGGTGGTAACCTTACTAACCAGTGACCCCAGGAGCTCAGTGGCTGGTCCTTCTCTCTACTGTTGATGCTCTGAGTGACTTCCAAATCATTTTCCCTGGTTTTACAAAGGTATCGGGCCTAGCTCAGGAAAGTCCAGGCTTTGGAAAAGGAAGACAGAAATACATTGAAAGGGAATCAGCTCAGATCTGGCAATGGAAACTGCTATTGACCTGGGCTGAGCAAATCTACTGTTTGTGATGTATCCTTCAATACCTCTCTGTGTGTCAGTAGCAGAGTGTCTGACTGCAGGCCATCAGTGCTTTGGGAGCTGTGGTTCTCAGCCCCACCAGCTGGAGTCACTGCTCCTCTAAATCCCTGAAAATTAAAGAAACCTGGCCAAAAGCGGATGCCAGAAACCTCTTACAAAATACAACAAAAGCACGTGTGAAGGCTTGGCTCCCTGTCCCACTGTGTATTGATACCTCTGTAAAGCAGACCCCTTAGCCCTCTGCCCAGCGGGGTCTGTGAGGCCTCACGCTACTTGAGCAATGCTTCAGTGGCTGTCTTTTGGATAGACCCTGATGTCTGGCTATCCCCAGGCATAGCCTTGCTTCGAGTCAAGAAATGAGGATAAAACCCACTGTGTGTGTGTGCAAGACTGCTTCTAGCACTGGAAACAGATCCCTGGGGTTTCCTCTTGGCAGGCAGAACACCTTCTTTGAAGAGCCCAGAAATTTAATAGCCTCTCTCATTCTCATCACTGAATTGCTCTCCCTGTGCACAGCCCCACTCTGAGCACAGAACCCCGCTTCTCATGTGCTGAGCTGCTCCCAGTGTACCTCTGTACATCACTCCTGTTGTCGCTTTGCCTGTTCACAGGGCATGTGTCTGCAGCACGCTTGCTCTTTATGTCAGTCTGTTTTACTTCTCACACCTCTATTCTGCCTCTTGGATGTGGTGAGTCTGCACCATCTCCTTTCACGGGGTGGGAGCTGCAGGAGGTGAAGGAGCAGAGGAGAGAAGCTGCTGTGTAGAGAGCACAGGGCCAGCATTGACCTTAAACAAATCTGTGCCTGTGGAGCAACAGGAGGAGGAAGTTCAGCAGCCAGTTTTGTCAGGAGACAGCAGCTGTGTGTGCTCGGCCTCTGCCATGCGAGCTTTGGCTTTCCATGAAGGGCAGGGAGGGATGCTGCATGCA